CAGGGGGCGTCAGGTGAATCAGGGGGACATCAGGTGAGTCAGGGGGACATCAGGTGAGTCAGGGGGACATCAGGTGAGTCAGGGGGACATCAGGTGAGTCAGGGGGGCATCAGGTGAGTAGCACGTACAGATACAATGATGCCTCGTAGCCTCATAAGTATCACTGATACAAAGCATTACAGATAACACGTTACATTGATGCTCTATTGCCGTTGATGTTTCATATTTGATGTTTAATTGAAACTCAATGAATCAGTGAACAATCAGTTTTTATGACAATATAAGTAAATATTCATTGATTTTACGCAAGAATAAGTAAATATTCATTGATTTTACGCAAGAATCAGCACATATTCATTAGTCTATGCATGAATAAGTAAATATTCATTGTTTATATGCAAGAATATATTAATTGATTTTACGCAAGCATAACTGAACATACGTTGATTTTATGCAATTTTATGCAAAAATAATTAAATATTCATTCATTTTACGCAAGAATAAGTAAATATTAATCGATTTCAGAAGAATCCGCAAAGAATAAACGAAGCGTTTGTACACAATAAGCCTTCATAAGCCCACCTCAGCGAGGTGCTTCTGCTGCAGCGACGTCTTCTCGCCCTCGACCTCGTCCAGCTTACGGCGCAGCTCGAGGTTCTCAACCCGCAGAGAACTTAGAGAACCTGCGGCGTCTACTGCGTCAGGTCCCAGCGATGAGTACTGCAAGAGAGGAGAGTGTGAGTACTGCAGGAGAGGAGAGTGTGAGTACTGCAAGAGAGGAGAGTGTGAGTACTGCAAGAGAGGAGAGTGTGAGTACTGCAAGAGAGGAGAGTGTGAGTACTGCAAGGTAGTAACTAGCAGTAATAATGTAGCTGGTAACATGGTAGCGTGAATGAGTTACCTATACTAAGCGAGGTACAATCAAGATGCACGTCAGAGATAAGGTTACATGAAGACTAGGTTCTTGAGACCTGTTCTGCCTCAGCACTCACCTTATCCAGCAGGTTCTTGAGATCGGTTCTGCCTCAGCACTCACCTTATCCAGCAGGTTCTTAAGACCAGTTCTGGCTCAGCACTGACCTTATCCAGCAGGTTCTTGAGATCGGTTCTGTTCTTGTCGCCGCGAAACTCAAACTTCTCAAAGTCGCGCTTCTCAGCCTCGCTCACGGCCAGCTTCCTCTGCTCAACGTGGCCACAATGACAGTAAATTCATTTTAAAAAGCAACATGAATGACATAAAAAGAACAGCAAAAAAAAGCTAAATTTCCATCAAACTCAGCAAGAATTTTGCGAAACATATGCAATAAATGACGTTTGTTAGAACCATTTACCCATCAGGTGCATAAATACGTGAATTGTTAGCAGCTTTGAAACTATGTGGACGAATTAATTTGGTTTGTTTGGTCTTTTCACAGATTCTTACTGCAAAGATAAATAATATTTAGTTGCGCAGCAATAATATTTATTGGCGAAAAGTTAATACTAAATGGTCATACAGCCTGGAAACAAATAATACATTGGAATATTTAATTGACAATTTGGCCATATAACGATGGTTATTTATACTGATGATACGCCATTTGTTATATTAAATAAATAACATAACTTTATGAATAACTTTATTAACATAACATAAATATCTTTAGGTTTACTGACAGAAAAAATCGTGCAAAACATGGAGCGCTTCTCCATGGAGCAATTCGCATTCAACTTTAGATTACAGTCAAAATTGGAGGACATCTCCACAGCTCCAAATATATAGCATGCCTAGTCTTCCAGCTCCAGCATCGGAGAAATTCAGCCTCCATGGAGCAGGGAGGCTGAATTTCAGACCTCAGGAAGGTCTTCAGAAAGGTCTGAAGTTTTCCCCTGAACAACATCCCGATTTTATAGCGGCTTCATCATCCTCCGTGGGGCAATAGCTGCTCCCTCCCCTTAATATATGACCAACCCTTACTCCATGGAGCGCCCATTACAACCAAGTAATGGACACCACAGGAAACAATAGATCCTGTGTCTCGTATAATAGACCCATTAAGCCATGTGGTAGCCATTACCTGCCATCACTGAGGGTAATGGAGTCTCTGCCACTCTCTCCCTTGCCCCATGGAGCCTGGAGATGCCATATTCTCCCTACGCTCCATAGAGCAGCCCGCGTTCCCCCATGCCCCATGGAGCACCCTACCTCCCAACATGGAGCAGGCCATCTCCCCCATGGAGATGACCACTTCCTCCATGGAGCAGCCTGATTCCCACACGTCATAGCCCACCTCCATCTCATGGAGCAGCCTACCCACTTTTATGCCTCATGGAGCATCAGAGCTCCTTCCGATGCCCCATGGAGCAGCCCACCTCCCCCATGCCCCATGGAGCAGCCGACCTCCCCCACACCCCCATGGAGCAGCCCACCTCCAGGTCGGAGAGCTGGCCCCGGATCTCCATCTTCTCGTGCTCCAGGCGCGTCACCTTCGCTATGAGGTCGTCAGCCGCGCTGCTGCGCTCGCCCAGGTTCTGAAATATGATCATTTATTAATTACCTTTTTACTTGAAAATTAAATAATTATGCATTTAATATTCTAATCGAAATTTAAATTATTATTTATATAACTTTTTAATTGAAATTTAAATATATTACTATTCAACTTTTAACTCGAAATTTAAATAATTGAGTATTCAACTTTTTACTTTTGATATTAATTTGATAATTTCAAAATTAAATAAAGGGTAATGATGCGATACAAGTTTTTTGTAATAAAACAAGAGATTTACTATTGATATTTGTGATCAGTTGTGAATGTTCATGACAAAATAATGCAATAATCAAGAATATCAGCGATCAGTAGACCCCTGACCCCCAGTAGACCCCTGATCCCCCAGTAGACCCCTGACCCCCAGTAGACCCGTGACCCCCAGTAGACCCCTGACACCCCAGTAGACCCCTGAAACCCTAGTAGACCCCTGAAACCCTAGTAGACCCCTGACACCCCAGTAGACCGCTGACCCCCAGTAGACCCCTGACCCCCAGTAGACCCCTGACACCCCAGTAGACCCCTGACACCCCAGTAGACCCCTGACCCCCAGTAGACCCCTGACACCCCAGTAGACCCCTGAGATGTGTATAAGAGACAGGAGTGTGAGTACTCACACTCTCCTNAGCTTCATCTCGAGGTCTGCATTGCGTATCTCCGCGTTGCTGAGGTCCTGCTGCGCCTTCTAGACCCCTGACCCCCAGTAGACCCCTGACCCCTCTGAGCGCATTAAGCTTCATCTCGAGGTCTGCATTGCGTATCTCCGCGTTGCTGAGGTCCTGCTGCGCCTTGTAGACCCCTGACCCCCAGTAGACCCCTGACCCCTCTGAGCGCATTAAGCTTCATCTCGAGGTCTGCATTGCGTATCTCCGCGTTGCTGAGGTCCTGCTGCGCCTTCTGCTTCGCCTCCGTCGCCTGCTCCTTCTGACGCCGCAGCTCCGCCAGCGACGCCTGACACGCGGCCAGCCGCTCCTCCAGCTGACGCCGGTCGCTGTCCGTGCGCGTCAGCGCGCTCTGCGACTGATGAATAAACATTTATTGTGAATAAAGATAGAAAATTAATTGCCAATGAAGAAAGAAAATTAATTGCGACTGGAGAAATAACATTTATTGCGACTAAAGAAAAAATATTACGACTAAGAAATAACATTTATTGCAACTGAAGAAAGAACATTTATTGCTAATGAAGAAAGTAGATTTATTGCGAATGAACAAAAAACATTTATTGTGAATAAAAAAAAACAATTAGGCTTCTTATTCAATTTTTTTCATTACATTTTCACACGAAAATGTAATGAAAAATGTGTTTTTTATTTCAATAAATCACGCAAAGTTTGACGATTATTGTAACTTCTTTAAAAAATTTTGCGATCCTGCAACACGAAATGACCGACTGGTTGTTTGGATCAATACTTTTTATTATTACGATATGGATATCCATTCTCGACTGAAATGTAAAAAATAGCGTAGTAAACGTTTGCATCACCACAGCGACGTTCTCAGTAGGTATGACGCGGCGCTTATGATGCAGGAATGCATTTCACATTTGGGGTTTTTAGTTAGCCCCTGAATTGGACTAAAAGCAATTACCGCCTGCAATACCTGCACTAGTTATTAATCCCGACCCTGCAGCAAGGGTTGGCCGCACATTACCCTAATCCTATTACCACATTACCCCATCCCTATTACCACATTACCCTAACCCTATTACCACATTACCCCATCCCTATCACCACATTACCCTAACCCTATTACCACATTACCCACCACATTACCCTATTACCACATTACCTCATTACTACATTACCCTATTACCACATTACCCTATTGCCACATTACCCTATTACCACATTACCTCATTACTACATTACCCTATTACCACATTACCCTATTACCACATTACCCTAGCCCTATTACCACATTACCCTAACCCTATTACTACCACATTACCCTAACCCTATTACCCCATTACCCTAGCCCCATTACCCTGTTGAGCTCGTCCTCCAGGCCGCTGGTGGCCGCCACGGTCTCCTTCAAGGAGCGGTTCATGGCGCTCAGTTTGTCCTTCAGGTCCGCCTCGCTGGCCGCGGCCGCCGCGATGCGTGCCCGCAGCTCCTCCACCTTACGAGTTATTTACATTAGTAAACAATTTGTAACTTAGTAAAATTATTAACCAATTATTAAATAAGTGGAAGTAACAACCAATAATTACTAACTAAGTGAAATTAACAACCAATTATTATCCAAGTGGAATTAATAACCAATTATTAACTAAGTGAGATTGATAACCAATTATTAACAAAGTGCATAACCATTTTAATAATTATAGGAATTACACACACATAACTAAATAATGTTCTTCAGACTAAAGGAGGGATACCAGTTGCTTGAGAAGAAAATATTGGGGGGAAATATAGAAAATTAAAAAAGTTATTAAGGAAAAAATTGAAAGAATTATTCATTAAGCAAAATTTGATTAATAAATTTATTCACGAATGTACGCCACAGGGCACCTATGGAGACGATAAGCTCCAGAGCCATGAATAAGATGAATGTGAGTACTAAAGTGCATGTACTCATGAATAAGATGAATGTGAGCACTAAAGTGCATGTACTCATGAATAAGATGAATGAACAGACGGACGGACGGACATGACGAGCACGATAGGGCATTTTTTCCATAAATGATAAAATGCGCTAAAAATCGGGGGGTCAATCATTTACTTCCATGGCACCATCAGAGTCTAATAGTTTTTCTTAAAATATTATTATAGGAAAATAACGAATACAATGGATGATTGAGCTAGATTGAGCATATATAGGATATCGTCTTCGAGCCTCAATTCAGAACAATTTCAGAGCTGTAAATTAATGATATTTCTAAAGAACATGAGAGCCCTTGAGCCATGAACAATTGTACATGAAACGAATATTTGCTTCAATTATTCCACAAATATGAATCATTTAAATAGAACGAATTTAACTGGATACTGGTTTGTTTTAGTTATGCCGTGGTTTTTCTTGCAGTACAGCGTTAGCGCAATGTTGTTATAGGTCCAGAAAGTCAATTATATCATTGACGTATGGCAATTAATCAAGTCAATTATCATTAGCGTATATTATCACAACTAATTGACTAAATGCAAGAGAATTGAATGTTTTTTAGCATGTTTTCCTCGACGCACTTTCGGTGCGTGGGCGGAAGCTCATCAATTACTTGGTTGATTTGAAAATTTTTAGAAGACATATGCCATAAAAAATCAAGGGAAACCACTAAATTATTAAACTACATGACACATATCATAGAGATAATCCTATCTGAACCAGAATTTCTATTTTGTACGGTAAAATATTCACGTTTAAATTTTATATACTGTACCGAAGATTATTTGGAACAAAGGGGCTAATATAAATTTAATATAAATAATAAATAAATAAATGAACAATATATAATTGTCTTCTGAACGTCTCAACACGAAACTTAACTAAGGAAACAGACTATACAATAATTATTAACGAATAGTCTACTTATTTAATATAAAATACTAAAATTTTATGAAATAAAAACCATCAAATAAATCACACGGACACAATCACTACAAGACGGTCACTAGATATCTAACTCATAAATAGTTAATTTATTTTAATTTATTTGGTAAATGGAATTAATTTGAATAGGTACTCATAATATCGTTCGAGCTTTTCGCATGACTTTTTTAAAATGAGATATTTGTACCTTTCTATATATGAGATATTTATTGTAGAGAGATACATTGTAAAATAATATTTATTGTAGAGAGATACATTGAAAAATAATATTTTTACAATGAGATATTTGTAAAATATGTGATAGGAATGAAGGAAAGCTGGTTCACAAAACTACAAATATTACAGTTTCATATCTATAAGGAATAATGTTATTATTTCCACTCCTATCATAAATACATTTTTACTCGACCAATAAGATCATCGATCTTATTGAATTTTTGATCTAAATTAATTTTTAATGTATTGATATTACAATTCCAATAACATATTGCAATTGGCAACGATTCTGAAATATATTCATTTGTTTTGAATTTAATTAATTATGTAATATAATTTTATTAATATGCATTTAAAACATGCATGCAACATTGAGGAATGTAGACGAGGATGAGGTGGGCGATTAATCATTATTTTATTAATAACTTTAATTAACCGGACGAAACTGTAACATATATTCCGATGATTCTAATGGATGCTCAAAAATTTATAAGTTTAATTTAAATCAGCAATGGTATATCAAGTAGTAGTTCTTCAAACAAACTTTGACGCCAAATTCATAAATGGAATGTATATTGTGAATGATGCTATACGGAAACTACTCTGTTCAGCTTGCAGAAGAGAATTCCGGAAAAGGTCATAAAATGTTTGTTAATTGAAAAATTTGTTCATTGAAAAAATTAGTTATATGGAAGACAGATCATGACTTAGACGAAGCCCAGCGCATGATGATGGAGGAGTATGTGACATGTGGTTGATTAGCACATGACAATGTGGCGTGTGGCACATATGGACACGTGGCACATGGACACGTGACACATGGACACGTGCATGACACATGGACACGTGGCACATGGACACGTGGCACATATGGACACGTGGCACATATGGACACAAATGTCGCAAGCATAAAATTAAAAACTAGTACGTAGACTGCACAAGACAATTTGTAAATAATCTACTTACCACCAAACTGTAAAAAATTAACAGAAAATTAAATAGAAAAATCAAACTGTAATAAATTAATGGAAAAATAAACTGCAATAAATAAATGAATAGTAAATCTAACAGTTATGAATAACTCCAAACGAAGGACGAATAAGAAGGACGAGTAAAGCCAGGGCAGAGAATAGGAAGCAACTCACAAAAGGATCCGAAGAGTAGATGAACTGCGAGCGAAGGGAGAGGGTCAGACGCTGTACAGTCCTAACATTTATCTAATTTGTTAGATTAAAAATACCACTTCATTGTAATAATATGCTTGGCAAGGTGCTATACAGGACATACAGAATATACGTATTGTCTTTACTCTGTGTGGGCACTTTGGGCACTGTATGAGCTGAATACAATGCATGAATGAAGATTAGTTACTTGTGTACTATGTACACGTGAAATATGTACTACTATGTACACGTCAAATATACGTGAATTTCACACGCTAATAAGTTCCCCTTGGCAAGTGAGATAACGATCTGAAATTTCAATACTAGTCTGAAAATGTATTTTTATTGTGTCGAAGTTGCCAAAAAATACCAAAACTTTCTAATTAATAAGAAAATGCTCGCGCAATCATGTTTAATGCATCTGGTATACACAGCTTTCCTCAAACAGCCTCCTTGTAGTGGATAGTTCTACTCAAAAAACAGCCTCCTTGGAGAGGGGCGTTGTTTTCACAATGTTTGTGCAACTGTTGGCGGACTCGGATGGACCAAAAAGTTTATTGGCAGCGGCCAAAAGCTGGCTATTCATCGGCCACCTAAAACCAGCTTATAGCTTTTATACAGCGCAGCGCTCGCATTTTGCTGTGGGTGATGGAGGATATATTATACCTGAGACATGATCTCGGGCCATCTAGCGCGTTAAGGTGCAGGTCTTATTAGTACACTTACTCATTAACACACTCATTAACCCTCCACCGCCTGACATGAGTAACCAGAGCTATATTGTAACAAGCCTACTTCCCAAAAAGGATACGTTCTAGTGAGCGCAAAATGACTTGCACTGATGGTTGCCGCCACGTACGACAACTTTAAAATGTTCTCTGTTGCGTACAAACGTCCTCAGGTTGTTACACTCAATAGTTTACGTATAATTTAAGTTGAAAGTTACTTTAAAATGTTCTCTGTTGCGTACAAACGTCCTCAGGTTGTTACACTCAATAGTTTACGTATAATTTAAGTTGAAAGTTATGTTCCCGGAGAGTGACATACGGCGGTAGTGGGTTAAGTTGAAAGTGCAAACGTCCTCAGGTTGCTACACTCGATAGTTAACGTATAATTTAAGTTGAAAGTTATGTTCCCGGAGAGTGACATACGGCCGTAGAGGTTAATACTCACATTATGCCCCATGGCTGCCGTGCTCTTATTAAGCATGTCGTCGAGTTAAGACTCACATTATGCCCCATGGCTGCCGTGCTCTTATTAAGCCTGTCGTCGAGTTAAGACTCACATTATGCCCCATGGCTGCCGTNACTCACCCTCTCACACTCGAGGGTACTGATCAGGTTCATGAGGGTACAGCACTACTCACCCTCTCACACTCGAGGGTACTGATCAGGTTCATGAGGGTACAGCACTACTCACCCTCTCACACTCGAGGGTACTGATCAGGTTCATGAGGGTACAGCACTACTCACCCTCTCACACTCGAGGGTACTGATCAGGTTCATGAGGGTACAGCACTACTCACCCTCTCACACTCGAGGGTACTGATCAGGTTCATGAGGGTACAGCACTACTCACCCTCTCACACTCGAGGGTACTGATCAGGTTCATGAGGGTACAGCACTACTCACCCTCTCACACTCGAGGGTACTGATCAGGTTCATGAGGGTACAGCACTACTCACCCTCTCACACTCGAGGGTACTGATCAGGTTCATGAGGGTACAGCACTACTCACCCTCTCACACTCGAGGGTACTGATCAGGTTCATGAGGGTACAGCACTACTCACCCTCTCACACTCGAGGGTACTGATCAGGTTCATGAGGGTACAGCACTACTCACCCTCTCACACTCGAGGGTACTGATCAGGTTCATGAGGGTACAGCACTACTCACCCTCTCACACTCGAGGGTACTGATCAGGTTCATGAGGGTACAGCACTACTCACCCTCTCACACTCGAGGGTACTGATCAGGTTCATGAGGGTACAGCACTACTCACCCTCTCACACTCGAGGGTACTGATCAGGTTCATGAGGGTACAGCACTACTCACCCTCTCACACTCGAGGGTACTGATCAGGTTCATGAGGGTACAGCACTACTCACCCTCTCACACTCGAGGGTACTGATCAGGTTCATGAGGGTACAGCACTACTCACCCTCTCACACTCGAGGGTACTGATCAGGTTCATGAGGGTACAGCACTACTCACCCTCTCACACTCGAGGGTACTGATCAGGTTCATGAGGGTACAGCACTACTCACCCTCTCACACTCGAGGGTACTGATCAGGTTCATGAGGGTACAGCACTACTCACCCTCTCACACTCGAGGGTACTGATCAGGTTCATGAGGGTACAGCACTACTCACCCTCTCACACTCGAGGGTACTGATCAGGTTCATGAGGGTACAGCACTACTCACCCTCTCACACTCGAGGGTACTGATCAGGTTCATGAGGGTACAGCACTACTCACCCTCTCACACTCGAGGGTACTGATCAGGTTCATGAGGGTACAGCACTACTCACCCTCTCACACTCGAGGGTACTGATCAGGTTCATGAGGGTTCTACTCACCCTCTCACACTCGAGGGTACTGATAAGGTTCATGAGGGTTCTCAGTTCTAGCCTGATAGCCTCAGGGTCGACCTCGGTTCTCTCGCTGCGGTCCTTCTCGAGCCCCGCCAGCGACTCGGCCAGGGCAGCGGGCAGCTCGCTCGCTACGCCTCCTTCTGGACAAAAAAAAAAAACATTTACTTTCATTTTTGAGAAACAAACCGATCATTTGAATTAAATTTTTCGAGAGAAAGCGACCATTTTTATTCAATTTTTTGAGAGAAACCGACCATTTGTATTGAATTTCTCGAAAGAAATCGATCATTTGTATTCAATTTATGAAGAGAGAAAATGATCATTTGTAATTAATTTTTCGAAAGAAACCGAAAACTTGTATTGAATTTTTCGAGAGAAAGCGACAATTTTTATTTGATTTTTTGAGAGAAACCCACCACTTTTATTTAATTTTTAGAGTAAAACCGACCCTTTGTACAGGGTGTTTCAGAATTAAGTAACCCTTTTAATTTGTTAATAAATAAAAAACTAAGAACGTTATGAAGTTGAAACTTGTTTTATAGATGTGTATAAGAGACAGATATACACATAAAAGATTGTAATTATCATTATCCTGTATAGCTTGCTAAATTTGTGTTTAATTATCAAGCCTTAAATTTTCATCATGATTCGCTACAGCAAAGAAGAAAGAACAAAAATTATCGCTACAGTCAATAACGATGTCAATAACAGAAGTTCAACGTGATTACAGGATCCATTTCAAAACAAGGATCCTTCAAAAAACACATTTAAATATCTTTATCGAAAATTTGCGGATATCAAAAATTTGCACTCTCGTCAGAAACACTAATGAAGGTTATGAAAGCAACGAAGAGAAGAGCCCTATTTTGTCAAAACAATTGTGGTGGGCATTTAAAATGTCTCTTATACACATCTAGATGTGTATAAGAGACAGCCTTTACGCTGTGGCAGGGAGGTGGCGTGCGTGATGGTGCGTATGGCGGCGTATGTGGCGTGCGTATGACTCACCTTTACGCTGTGGCAGGGAGGTGGCGTGCGTGATGGTGCGTATGGCGGCGTATGTGGCGTGCGTATGACTCACCTTTACGCTGTGGCAGGGAGGTGGCGTGCGTGATGGTGCGTATGGCGGCGTATGTGGCGTGCAGGCGCCTCTCAAGCGCCTCTTTGTGCGCCTCAAGCGCTCCGAGCTGCTGCTGCAGCGCCTCAGCCCGCCCAGCGTCGCGTGACGCGCTCACCTGACAATATGTTTTATTTTATATTTCATAACATACTCTATATAATGTATATTGTATAATAATAGCTCAACTGACACAGTACATTATATATAATCACATGCATACACTTTATAATGTACACTTTACACTTTATATTAAACACTATTACACTTTTATCACACTTTACACTGAACACTTTACACTTTATAATGTACATACACTTTTGGCAATGATCTTAATTTTTGCGGGAACGAGCACATAAAATTCCCAGTAGATAAGTTCCATTAGTACAAACACGTAGAAGCCTACATACTAGAAGACCTGGATACTCGAGTGCACCGGACACAGTAAATTATATATCATCACATACACTTTATAATGTATAATAATAGCTTTATAATGAATAACAAGCTGTTGCATTACATACAAGAATGAGAATGTAGCGTAAAATACAGGATTCGTGAAATGCCATTTAATGAATTAAAATGGATATGAATTACAAGCTATTGCATTAGATATAAGTTTAAGTGTGTACAGTAAAAAAAGGCCATGAATGCTATTTAATGAATTACAATGGACTTAAATACCTATTCCTTAAAGATTGTACGATAAAAAAAAGAGGATCAATTATTGTTTTTCAATGAATCACAAGATTTAAATAAGATAAGACAATAGATTTAATAAGAGTGTAAAATAAAGAACAGGATCCATGATACTGTTTAATTAATTTCAATGGATTTCAATACCTATAGTTAACGAGTGAATAATAGAAGCAAGATATTGGCACACCTAAGACGTCATTGTAGTGAATAAAGTCGAGATGGTCACAAAGATTTTGCCTTAATTCAGCAAAATTGATGAATTATCCGAGTTAAGTGTCGCTAAGTATTCGATTGGCGATGAATATTTCAATCAGTTAATGCATCGTACCGTCCCATGGGAAATAAGATTTTAAACATTTTTATAACAGCGTTCTAGGAATTACAGAGCATTACTGACTGATCTTATAGCAAATTTCACGGCATTAATGGATGCGTTACAAGGAATTTTACTTGGATTGAGGCACACTGTAAGAAAAATCACCGTTGAACAGTCTCACCGGCGTTCTAGTGGCCCGCCGACACGTGAAAAGAAACACCGTATGGCCGTTTTTATTCAAACTTAACACTAGAAATCAGCAAAACATCTGAAAAACGGCAAAAAGTTTTTTTTACGTGGCGGCCGGCCACTAGAACGCCGGTGAGACCGCTTTTAGCGCATTTTCTTATTCATGGAAAAAATGCACTATTGTGCTCGTCATGTCCGTCCGTCCGTCCGTGACTTCACGTTTCCGTCGACGAGAAAATGTCACTCACTGCAGTGAGTACTGAGTTATATTTTTTAACCGTTTTTTCGATCAGTGTATAGAATACCTAGATCCACCTGCTGCTGCAGCTGGTACACGTTACCTTGAGGTCTGCCACCTGCTGCTGCAGCTGGTACACGTTACCTTGAGGTCTGCCACCTGCTGCTGACAAGCTCGGCATGCTTCTCAGTGGCCAGGCGATCAAGGTCAGTCTCCAGGCGCTGCTTGGCGTCTTCCAGCAGCCCACATCGCTGCTCCAGTCCCCGGCAGCGCTCCTTCAAGTCCACAGCCTCCGCCTCCGTGCGGCCTTGCGACGCCTTCGCCTTCGCTAGCCGATCCTGGACGTGGAAAAAATATTATTATACTTTCTTAGTAATATTTTAAATATAAATTTTAATAATATAAAAAAATTATTGTACGTTATTTAATGTTTTAATTAGAAATTTTAGTACCTAATAAAAAAATATTGTAAGTTATTTCATAATTTTTTAATTTTAATAAAGTTTAATTACACATTTTAGTAATATAAAAAAGTTATTGTGCGTTATTTAAAAATGTTTTAAAATAAATAATGTTTCAATTACGAATTTTAATAAATAAATATAAAAAAATTATTTTACGTCATTTATTAATACTTTAATTACAAATTTTAGTGATATAATAAAAGCATATGGACCCAAAACACAATATATAATAGTGAATGCTGTAAATAAATGAATGTTATGTTATGCGAGTTGATTCGTCTTGAATAAAGTTAACCCGCAAGCGCATTTATTCACAACGCAACTTATAGTCCGTGCAAACCATGACAGGTTCTGGTGGTCAGCAAGGGCTGGAAATGGCGCTATGGAATACTTATTGATGACAGCTTCTCGATTCTAGTATCGAATTCCTGTCATTATCTTCTACTGTCTGATTCCCGTCATGATCTTCCCCTCTCAGATTCCGGGAATGATCTTCTACTATCTATTATCCTCCACTATTTACGTAATTCCCGTCAATTCCATCATTTAATGACCACATCTCACAGGACCTGCTGACGAAGCAGTCTCCTAATGACCACATCTCACAGGACCTGCTGACGAAGCAGTCTCCTAATGACCTCATCTCCTGTCTCTTATACACATCTAGATGTGTATAAGAGACAGGACCTTGAGGTCTGCCACCTGCTGCTGCAGCTGGTACACGTTACCTTGAGGTCCGCCACCTGCTGCTGCAGCTGGTACACGTTACCTTGAGGTCCGCCACCTGCTGCTGCAGCTGGTTGATGAAGTTGTCGGCCGCCTTCTTGTCCTCCAGCAGACGGCGCTCAGCGTCGCGGCTCTCGTCCAGGCTGCGGACATGCAAACGTTACGGGCAAGTTCTCTTATAGGCTTATTATAGGTTATATTTTGATTATATTATAGGTTTTATTATAGGTATATTATGGGTTATATTATAGTTTTATTATAGGCTCTCATATAGATTTATTATAGGTTATATTATAGGCTTATTATAGGTCCTTTTATAGGTTTATGTTGTAGGTTTATTATAGGTTATATTACAGGTCAGGGGTCGCACTATCAAAAATATTTGCGATTTCGTGACTTCATCAGCCAATCACTGACCTCGTAACAAGCGAAGTACGCCAATAACAGACGAAAAATTGAAAGCCAATAACAGACGAAAAATTGAAGGCCAATAACAGACGAAAAATTGAAGGCCAATAACAGACGAAAAATTGAAGGCCAATAACAGAC